TTAGCCAATAAATGTCATCATTGGGGAGGAAAGCTCATGGGGAGTGTTAGTTGATAGTATGAAATGTACCATATGAATAGATAAAGTATTAGCATCTTGGAAGAAGATGGGACTGGAGGACTTACTAATAAATTAAAAACATCTGGTTGCTAGTGTCTACAGCCCGTTTCTCATACATTAATCTGTCTATCTGTCTGTCCATGTATAGTTCTTCTACTGTTATTCTAACAATCATACTATTTTATTTTGTGGCCCAAAAACAGGGACAAATTATCATTCATAATGAATATGCATAATGTACAAATGCCATTTTCTAACTCTGGTGAGTACAGTCTTAACAGGAAGAAGTGAATGATCATTTGTACAGACTTACTTTCTGTTGCATTATTCAGGTTGTAACATTCTTGCTTTGTGGATTTCCAGCCAGCTGAATCAGTACTCAGGACAAGGAACCATGAAGCACAACTTATCCTAGATCATAGCTGTAGTGTGCCATACAGATCTATCAACTAGCACCATTGTTGGGAGAAAGAAGGCAAACAATCTGCTCTTCTTTCTTTAATGTACACTAATATTAGTAGCAGAAGGAAAGGGTGCCCAAGCTGGATATGTATGGAGTTTAAACAGTGGCTGTGCCCATGTCATAATAGCGAGCATCACAACAGCAACTCCAATGATGTTTATACCCAGTCCAGCTTTTACCTAAAGAAGGAAAATATATACAGATATATATATATTGAAAAAATGGAAAGTTAACAGAAAGACCAACTTTTCTAGAACAAACTTGCAAAAATTAAATGATATAATAATGATTAAAAACTATTATGTATGCATGGATAGCAGTAAATTTTAAATAGAATAGTCAATAGAATACTGCTCGCTATTTCCTCAGATTAATTTCTAAACACTTATTTTCTCATTTTTAGATTTCATTGCTAGAAGTTATGATGTGGATGACTAGATGAAAACTGAGGTGGTGTATTTTAATAGTTTGACTTGAACTAAAGCCTTTTGGCCAGAGAAGTTTGTTGCCTGTACATTGATAATACTGCATTTCAGACCTTTGAATGAACATCACTGGGCTTCCTGTAGAGGCAGGATAAGGGAAGGATGGAGCACTATGGATCATTTTGCAATGTATACTGTGTGATTGTATAGAAATAAAATGATTGTAACAAACTGTCGCAATGTTCCAACCCACTCAACCTCTCCAGAAAAATCCCTTGGCTTGTCTTTTCAGATATTGCTGAAAAATTCCTGTTAATCCACATAGTCTGATTGAAAGTATCATGTAAACAACCAAACCTATTTCAGTTTTTTCTGTAAACTTGAAACCACACTAAGTAGTTCCAGAAGATTAGATTCTTCCGAGGTAACATCTATAGATGGTTGTTCTTCTTTAGAAAAGAATATTTGCAACTGGGTAGAAATTATCTAAAATCTGAGGCTCCAGGGGAGTGACTTTCCAAGAGAGGTCACAGCACAATCTCTTTAAAAGTCTGCCTCTAAATATCATACATGAAGAGTCTTCAACTCGTTCATGTAACTCCCACCTACTAGAGCTTACCAGACATCATAAGTAATGGTTTAGAGAACAGATGAATTACCTCATTCCTATAAATGCTTTGTCCACTTCCTCAGATTTCAAAAGCTAAATCACAGACTATGACAAGTTCTGCACAATCTATGGTGTCTAACTTGCAGCAGATTGAAAGGACTTCATATTCAAACTTTATCATAAATCTGATATAATGTGTTACTGAAGAGAAGCTGAGTCTGTTCCCTGAACTAAGTTTGAGCAACCTGCCTGTTATTACAAAAGTTCTGTTATGTGCTTCATGGCAGATCTAAGGATGATGACAATGATGATTTGTTGCATTCCAAAAAACTGGGCAGATCGCATTTAAAACAATTAAAAAACATATCACACAGCATAACAGCCTGGAAAAAAGAACCATAACAGTACACACATCTGAGAGGGGCTCCACTAGCACATTAAACCCAGGTCTAAAGAGCCCTCTGAACTCTAAGAGGATGGATGTCATATGTATCTCTAGGGATAGGTGTTCCAGAAGGTAGTGGCTGCAAAACAGAAGGCACACCTCTTTGGTTCCTTAAGGTTACAGCATTTAGTTGAGGGGACCTGGAGCACAACCACTGTGCCTGAATATACCGGGCAGGCAGAAATTATCAGAGACAGGCGGTCTCACAGATAATATATGAAGAGCTTTCTAGGTGACAACTTTAATTGCAGCTGGAAGCCAGCTGATAGCTAGCTCAGTTCATGTACTAGTAATATCACATGGGAGAAATAAGAACTGTCTGTTATGGCACAGCCCATTTCACTTTATAGCTTCTGGATGGTCTTCAAGGGCAGCTCACCTAGCGATACATTGCAATAATTCACCACAGTGAATTGCATCAAAGGCCGCTAACAGATGACATAGCACAAGGATGATGCACCACTACATCCAATCTCTGTCAAAGGTCATAGACAAATGAAAACCTGACTGAAACTGTCCGGATAATCTATGTCCTCTAAGATTCTCTGTAGCTGCCATCTAACCACCTTTTCCACAACCTTCCTCACAATATTGGAATATTGGAAACTGGATGATAATTGTGAAGGATATGGGGGGCAGTGATGGCCTCTTGAGAATTAAAGTTTCTTTGATGCCATCACCATCAATACGTATAATAGATACCATTATTCTTTCTCATGTATTCTCATTATTGTTAACAATGATAACATTTGAAAAAAGTTCACAAATTATTCTTTTCTTACTGTTTACTTACCATATCCATAACTTTCAGGTGACCATAAGAAAATACAATCGCATTAGGTGGATTTGCTACTGGTAGCAAAAATGCAAATGATGTACAGAGGGTGGTTGGTATCAAGATATAAAGAGGGTTAACTTGGATGGCTTCAGCCTATTAGACAAGGAGATGCCAAGAGAAATTCAAGATTATTAGTTAATATTTGCTCACTTGAAGGACACATTTGATCTGAAATTGGAGTCCTATAAATGTATTGAACTACAATTCCTATCATCTCCAAAATGAACCTGCTAGTGAGGATGATGAAAACTGTAATCCAGCACATCTGGGAAGCACAGGAAAGATTAAAATCCAAGAAATAATATTACTACTGTAATTATTAAATGAAAATTTAAATGATACATCCCACTTAAAATAGATCATTATCAAATCTTTACAACTTATATTGTTTATATTAATCTTCCACATGGAGGATTGTGACTTGGAATGTAAAATCTATAAATTATAACGTCTTACTTTTTTCTGTACTTTATATAATATTGCTTAACCTAAAAGGGAATCTTATGGGTTTCTAGCTATGAAGATTGATAATTCCTTAATCAAAACATCTATGATAGGCCTACAATTTTGTGATATGTATTAGCTATTTGCATAATATAGAATGCTTCCATTTTCTTATATAAGTACATTCTCTATTACAAATGTGAAGTAATTTAATCATAACTATAAGGAAAATGCATTTACAGTAAACTCGGGTTGATCTTAGCTGACCTCAGAAACTAAGCACAGTCAAAGCTACTTAATAATTGGATGGATAATAATGCAAAAATCTCAGTGCTATTGACTGTCATCGGAATTATAGAACTTTAGATATATTATGACAAAACTACATAAAGATACTAAGGACAGAAATATCTCTAGATGTAGAATATTGTACACCACCTAGATTCACTATTAGTGAGTTGGGCAGCCATATACATTTGTTTAATAAATAAATATAATGAATAATGTAAATACTCTTTTAAGATGCAACCTTAATGAATCTCTAAATATCATAGAAGCAAAAACATCAAGCTTCAATTATGCCTTTGTTTAGGAGTCAAATAAATAAACATTGATTACTTTTCTTTCTGAACTTATTATAGCTCACAAAATGAACAAAGAAAAATTCTATTATGAATTATTCACAATACTTTACTCTTGTAATCTTGAATTAAGTAATCTTATATACCTAAGCATTCTCTGTTTCTCCATTTGCTGCCATTAGTTCATATTGCAAAACTCCTGTTTTAAATCCAACCATTTAGTGATCTTTAACTGCTATGACTGTAGATCAGTTGTTTCAAACCTAAATCAGATTACTTACCAAGGGGGCTAAGATAGGCAAAAATATAGTGATTGTAGCAGGATTGCTGGCTACTTCAGTTACTGTGGTCACGATCAAAGATGAAATGAGAATTATTACCCAAATGGGTAATGATCCTAACGGGGTTAATTTGTTTCCAATCCAGGATGAGAGTTTTGAGTCCTGGGAAAAACAATAATTGCTTAGTTATCCATAAATTTAATTAAACAATTTGTGTAAATGTAAATGCCCCCACCCTCTGGAACGAACTACCCCCCGAGATCCGGACGATTCCGGATCTCCTAACCTTCCGCCGCGCCCTCAAGACATGGCTTTTTCAACAAGCGGGCCTGACCTAGGGTGAATTTTAAATAGGGATAATTTTTAATGATTTTAAATAGTCACAGTCACTAATATTTGGATTTTAATTGGTTTTTAGAAGGGGT